GATGACTCATCCATCATATTATTATTTTTTCTTTATTTTTTATTTACCAAACAAAAAAAATTTATTTTTTCGTTCCTATTGTTCCTTCCACTTCTCTTCCTCCTTTCTACCTTACAAAGCATAAAACCTCAACTTCTTTTCCTTCCTTTCTAACCGACAAAGCTTAAAGACGTCGTACTCAACTTCCTCTTCCTCTTTTTCTACCGAACAAAACATAACATAAAGGCAACATATGCAAAGATATTTCTAGAATTATGTTAATTTATGGGCCATGAAGCCTGTGACGAAGAAATACAAAACTTTAACTGAAAACATACAAGTGAATTTGCTTCTTTCAAATCTTCACAAGAGTTTTTTCTTTTCTAGCCGCTACAATAATTGAACCCATCATGTGTGCTACAATTTTTCCTCGTGTTCCTTGAGTACGTGTATATGGGCCCTATATATATTATATTTTATTATTTACATGACGGTATATATATATATATATATATATATAACGAACACAAAGATTAACAAAGTGAATGCACTACAAAATGAAAGCCCATAATTTTGGGACCTGCACGTCTAGGCATTTTCAGTACTTAGTTGCTACAAGTTATGATGCCAATATTTTTTATTTTCCGAAATTTCTTGGTGTTTTAAAACCATGCACGGACCATTTCTTATAATAGAAACATGAATTACTTTGTAAAATTAAGATGCAAATAGGTTCTGGTGCCTTAAAATGGTATGCATATGATTTAACTTAAGTTATGAAGAAAGGAAAAGCACGGTTCTCATGAAACTGCTATCTAAAACGTTAACTATACACACACACACACACATTTATGTAGAATGTGTGTGTGTGTGTACTTTTTGTTTGTATTTCATTTTTATTGTGTTGAACATTAATCATGTTAAGTGAAATGTCTAAATCCTATGAGGATCATGATCAAAAGTTGAGACAGAGAGAAGGGCCGGCTTAAAATCATGAAATTCATTTGAGGGGTTGGCGGGTCACTTCTTGGATACATTGAAGCCTCGTTAAGGGTTGGTGCCATTTAATTATTATAACCCTAGCTTTCATAGAAGCAAGCCAGTAATTATATATGTATATACTATTATACACACATACGATGATACATATATTTCAAGAGTGGAGTACGTGACTTTGCGGTTGATGAATTTATCATCTTCTTCGTTAGTTTTTCTCTCTTAATAATTTAATATCATTTAACAATTATGAACATGTGATGATATCACTTATATAACTATTCGCTATAATGATATAAGTAACTAAATTCAGACAAAAATGATGAGGTTACATGCTGATAACTTTTAAATGACGACTTGAAAAGAAACCAATTAATGAAGAGAATTAAAACTTGTAGTTACAGTATTGTTGATGAAAAATGAACTTACATTGCAAACGGTGTGTTTGTGTCCCTGATTTTAATAATTTGGAATATGGCGAAGTTCAAAATAAAATAAAAATAAATAAAAATAAAAATAAAAATATTTAATATATACATAATGTGCAAATAACCTCTCGTGTTTAAAAAATTTCCCTACATTTTTCAAATTAAGCGGACATTTTATCAAACTGAAGACTAAAATGCCCTTAAGACAATATAAAAATAAAAACACTAATTTTAGGTTTTAAGGATATATTAAGGGTATTTTGGGAGATTGAAAATTTTTGACGGTCAACACACAGTACTAAATAGTTGGATTGTTTTTTACACATTTTTGATTTTTTGTATGGTAGGATTTTTTATTTTATTGTTATTATTATTTTTTTTTGTGCACAACCCTTTGGAATGAGGGTTCATTTGCATGTTTTTCCAATAAACAAAGGGCATGGGCCAAGGAATATCTTCTCTGTTTTTTTTTATTTAATACATAGAATATGAAAATTTGAAGTCCTATTCAAATCATTATTTTACTTTTCTTTTTTTTTTTCTTCTAATTAAACCTAACTAATTGACAGAAGTGAATCATTTGAAATACATCCTTTAAAAAGTGATTTTTTTAATTGTGAAAATGAAGTGAATTGTATTTTTATTATCCTTTTACATATAAGTGATATTGGAAAATATGAATGTGGTCCTAGATACCAAGACATGTGATTGTATGAATTTTTTCATGAATGCGGCAGAACCATATGTATCATGAAGAAATGGAACTATTTCCAACACATGTACCCACTTGCCAAAGGGTATAAAAAAAAAAACAAAAAAGGTGCCTAACATATTTGTTGAAACACATGAAACATTTAATTGTTCGTGATTTAAATAAACCAACAAGGGATGAAGGTAAAAAGGGGCCCCACTTATTTATTTATTTATATCATATTCCTAGTATTTAGATTTTTTTTTTCCTTTTAGTAACGCTCTCATTAAATTAATAATTGAAATAAAAATATGAGTAATTTTTTTATGGAAATATCAAATGTCAATTTTTATTTTTATTTTTATTTTTTGTCTAATTGTTGATCAAGCCAACTGTTATACGGAAAAAATTATCAAGTATAAATTAGTGGATATGCAGTACTATCTAAAATAACTTAAGCTTTTGGGTAAATGGGCAAGCGTTCACCCTTTACAGTTAATATTAGAGTTAAACATAATCTTTGATCAAGTGTCATGCTAAGCACTCGATCCGAAAGATGTCTGGTTGAGCCACCAGGGTAGGCAGGGTTGCCGACCGCAATGAGGGCGTTGCGAGTTTGGATGGGATAAAATGTTACAAGGAGAGATTTGTCCCACATCGGATCAAAATGAGAGAGTGATTGAGAATAAATGAATGCGTATATAACACTATCCAGTAACTTAACTTAAATTTTAAATAAATGAACAAGCGTCCACTTGTTACACCAATCACCTCTCAATTAAAGCAAGAATTTTTTATTTTTTATAGTTGTCTGTTCTATATTGCAATTCTAGCCACTTATAATCCTGTATGGATATATATATATATATATATATATATATATATATATATATATATATATATATATATATTTATATGCTGAAATATTTGATTTTTCTCCCAAACAGTAGTATTGCCTCTTCATTTCGAATTTTTATTTTTTTAATTTGTTTATCTTAATTTAATAATTAGTTTTACCTAAGGAAATATTATAAAGCCTTATTCTAAATATAAATAATAAAAATGAATATAAACAATTATATATTTGAATTTAGCATGAATTCATCATTTTACTTCATAAGAATAGTTTTGATATACATAATCAATTTCTTTGCATTTTCATGCTATCAAATTTTCATACTAACCAAATGTATGCTATAATATCTATTTTTTTTTCATTCACTTTCTATTTATTTTCGTTTCTACCTTATTTTCATCTAATTAAACGGAGCATAGAGATTTTCTATTAGTATTTATTGCTTAGCACTTTTGATTAACAATATCAAAATCACGATGTGTGATAAACTTGATAATCCTTTAGTTTTGAATAAATAAAAGAAGAGAAAATAATGATTACTCTGGAACTAATTCGACTTCATTTTTGTTATGTATAATTATTAATCACATAAATACAATCGAATTAGTGTGAGAGTTAGACTACTTATCATTTTTCTTTGAATAATTTGTATTAGCTCCATTTTTTTTCTTCCCATTTTCGTTTTTTTAGCTCTCGAGTTTTATTTCTTGAAGGGGATAAATATAATATTTTATAAGAAACATTCTCATTGTTGACAAAAAGAACTTTCCCTTTCATAGTAAGAAGACAACTCTGCTCACATCCCTTTCATCAACTACATCGGTAATGTATGAAGTGTTCAATGCCAACCATTCCTCAAAACCAAACATACATGCTTACACCAAAATATCTTCATCTTTCATTCTTGTTTTTATTGGTATAAAGATATAGTTTCAATAATTTGAATGACCTACATATGAGTCCTACATCCCCATAATTTGTGGATAGAGTTTTTTTTTTTTTTTTTTTTTTTGTAGGGAATAAAATGTTACATATTTATTTAAGTTTATATTTTTGTAGAAAAAAAAGGTTGTATTTGCTGTATTTTGAACTTGAAAACAAATGGTACAAGACAAATTTTGAAAAGAGTTTTCTATCATGAATTTGGTAGAGATATGTGTGTCGTACCCCAACTTCAATTAGCATATTGCTAGTTTATTTTACAAGGAAGATCATGTCATATATGGTGACTAGTATTCTAATTACAAAATAAATAAATTTATGTATATAATTACTAAATATTTATTTATATTTAGACTTTCCCAAAAAGATTTATATTTACCCAATGGTTAACAAAAAAAAAAAAAAAAAAAGCGATAAAACACTTTTTCTTCATTGAATCAAGGTTGTTTTACTAAGATTACAAGTGTAGTGATAATATTTTGTCTTTTAAAATAAAAAAAATTAAGAATTCAATTTCTTAAAATATAACGTAAATTGTTTTTTATTTTTTATTTTTTATATAAAAATTAAAGATCTTTATAAAAACAATGTAGGCTGTCTTCCAAAATAAATGGTTGAAAATTTAAATTCTTATAAAACAACAAAAAGTGTGTGAGTCTTGCCAAAATCAATGGTGTTTAATTTCAAATATGTCCAGTGACATCCACTCCATATGTTGACACCTTTATTCACCTTGACAAAAAATCAGGGGACTGAAGTTTTCATGGCAGTGACACATATATATATATATATATATTCAATACAGTCCATTTCTAATTCTATGGGTATTGGAACAGTTCGAGAATTCTGGTGGTCAGTAAGTTCAATTGACCATCCAAACTCCAAAGTTAACTATTTTATTCCCATTTCTAAATCTCACCTAAAGTTCTCATTACTTACCTCTTCACCATCATAGTCTTCCCTCAATATTTTTGTTCACTCATGTTTGACAATTACAGTTAAAAAATTGAATAATAGAACCAAACAAGGAAACCCAACAAAAAGTTGCAATTAAATTATAAGAACTAAACACAAAAAGTTGTAATTTTTATATTAGTACAATGTACCTGATTAGTTTAGGAGTAATTTCTGATAATCAGTCATCTTCACAAAAAACCAAACAAGAGTCCCCATAAGAGTACCTTCCAGTTCTATCTTCTCATTTACTGCTTCTAAGGCATTTTCCCATCTCATCACCTACCATTGATAAACTCCATCTTCCCTCATCTTCTCATCTCAACCGTTCCACGTATCTGTACCTTCTCTGCAAATACAACACATTTGTTGCCATTTTTGGGTTAGGGTTATTAAGAAGAAGGCAGGGGTGGATTCAAGAAAGCCCCATCTCAGGTTGATTCAAACTCACATTTGCACTTTCCAGAGAAAACCCATATAGGAAATCCAATCAAACTGATTAAATCGGTGGGTTTTTTCTGAGAATTGGGGTGTGTTGGGATTTGGTCTTTTTGACATGGGTTTTCTGGGTTTTTAGTCAGAGATCTAGAATTGGTGATTGGTTCATTGTCTGAGGAGATGGTATGTTGATGGGGTTTCTGAGATCTGGATTCTGAAGTTTTCTCCTTGGGATTCTATTACACCAAGGTAAGTGCATGAACTTTCTGTGAACATTGGAACATTTTATCTGCTTTTCCTGTTCTGTGTTCCTTTTTTTAGTTAATTTTATTAAAATCATTTAGTGTTGATTGTATCCATGACAGAGAAAACTACCTTATATTGTTGGATTTCATTTCCATTGTGTTCACTGATCTGTTTATTGAGTGATTGAAATTTTGTGCTACTATTTTTGATGTGGTTGTTTGTTGCATCCATTTGTGCATGTCTGGTCTGTATATATTTGAATGCTCTGTGTTTATTTATTTTTTTCTTTTTTTCCTCTGCCAATTTTGTTGGCTTTGAAATTGAATGGTGTACTGTATTATACTATTGTTATTGGCATTAGTGGAAATGAATGATACAAGCCGCTTGTATTGTGGTAGATTGTAGCCAGGAACAGTAAAGGGGATAGGAAAATAATTAATATTTTCGCTCAAATAATGCAAGAATATCAACATTGATATAACATACATATTCTCTAGTAAAAGGTTGCAGTTTTATGACCCTAATATAAACCTTGTAGGTGGTTCATCATTGGCAAGATGGCTACCGACCTGAATGCAGAATTATCCAAAAAAACTATTCTTGGTCTCAAGGTCTGGGAATTGATTGGGATCCTTGTCGCCCTATTTATTATAATTATCCTCACTGCATTGTTTTATATTACTTCACGAAAGAAATCAAGAAGAGCTAGAGACAGGATTCCCCTCAGCCAGATCCCAAATGTTTCGAAGGAAATTAAAGAAGTGCGGGTGGAGCAAGTATCAACAAATGAATTCGTTCCACGTGATGGGATTCTTCTTACCATTCATGACAAATCCAGTGATAAAGAATCAGATAAGGTTATGGTCCATCTGGGTATGGGGAAACTGAGAAATGGAGACAACAACAGTCAATCAGGTTCATTCAATCATATGGAGAAAGATGGTGGGGGTTTCCAATCAGGAGAAGAAGGGAGTTCCGGTTCAATTTCTGTGTATAAACCTTCTTCTTCACATCCAAGAACTGCTCCTTCTCCTCTAACTGGCCTGCCTGAATTTTCTCACTTGGGTTGGGGCCACTGGTTTACTTTAAGGGATCTTGAAGTTGCAACAAATCGATTTTCAAAGGAGAATGTTATTGGTGAGGGTGGATATGGAGTTGTTTACAGGGGACAGTTGATCAATGGATCTCCAGTAGCAGTGAAGAAGCTTCTCAACAATTTGTGAGTTAGAAAATGAATTTCCCTACTTTATTATGACTTGTTCCTTCATGTTCTTGTTGGTTCTATGAAGTTGAGTACTTACATTCTTTAATGTAGGGGCCAAGCTGAGAAGGAATTTAGAGTGGAAGTGGAAGCTATTGGCCATGTGCGCCATAAAAATTTGGTTCGACTTTTGGGATACTGCATTGAAGGAATGCACAGGTTCCATTCTCATTTATAGTATGTTAACATCAAATTGATTAACGTTCATTTGTAGGTTGCAGATTCCTTTTTAGTTAGTTAAGAAAAAAGTAGTCTTATTTAATCTCGAAATTTCAGGATGTTAGTTTATGAGTATGTCAACAATGGCAATTTGGAACAATGGCTTCATGGAGCTATGCGCCAGTATGGATATCTTACATGGGAGGCTAGGATGAAGATTCTCCTTGGCACAGCTAAGGCGTAAGTAATTTCATCTATATTTTATTTTCGATATGTGCCAGCATGGATATCTTACTTGGGAGGCTAGGATGAAGATTCTTCTTGGCAACAGCTAAGGCGTAAGAATTTCATCTATATCTTATTTTCACCATTTTAGACCTAATGATGGGATATAATTTTCGCAGTCTTGCCTACTTGCATGAGGCAATTGAGCCAAAAGTGGTGCACCGAGACATTAAGTCAAGCAATATATTGATCGATGAAGAGTTCAATGCAAAGGTTTCTGATTTTGGCCTGGCCAAGCTGCTTGGTGCGGGAAAAAGTCATGTAACGACTCGGGTTATGGGGACCTTTGGGTTAGTATTCTTGTAGTATTTTTTTTTCCTAGTTGGGTACTCACACACACATACTCACACACACATGCCTCCACTGAGGCTCAAACCTCTGACCTCTCTTTGAAAGTAGGGGCTTGGTACCGCTAGGCCACTGGCCTGTTGGTTATTCTTGTAGTATTCTTTCTAATATATGCCAACTTTGAGTTGTGCTTCACTTTTTGTTCGTTTCCTTTTAGTATGGTTAACAAAAGCCTACAATAATGATAGAGCCACAATCATATGTATGTTACTTTCAAAATTATGCAGATATGTTGCTCCTGAATATGCAAATACTGGGCTTCTGAACGAAAAGAGTGATGTTTATAGCTTTGGGGTTGTGCTTTTAGAAGCAATTACCGGAAGAGATCCTGTGGACTATGGTCGCCCATCTCAAGAGGTATGCTATTACTATAATCTTGTATGAAAATGTGTTGACGTACTGACAATATTGTTAGCTGACCCCAGTTAGTTGGGAAGTGGCTTTGTTGTGTTGACTTGAGCGGTACTGATTATATAGTTCCAAATTTATTACTTGAATTCTTTCAGTTATTTACAGAATTTGGATACAATGTGCTAATTATTGGAGAATGAGCGCATTATGCACCAGGCAATGAATTCAATGTCATTTGTTGAGAATAGTCTGTATTATGAATGGTTTTCTCTAGTTGACTTGAGTTCCAAATTTATTACTGGATTTTTTTTCCAGATATTTATAGAACTTGGATATTCTGCGGTAGTTATTGGAGAATGAGCAGATTATGCATCTGGCAACGAATTCAGTGTCATTGACATTTGTTAAGATAGTCTGTATTATAGTATGAAATTTTCTTCCACTACCCTTGAGATCTTGATCCATTGCACCACTTTATTTACTACACTTTCCAATTTACGTAAGAAATGTTTGGACATGATTGGGAAAAGAAAAACACTTTCTTTTTTGTTTTCGTCAGTATTTAAAATGATTTAATTTAACTGTACTTGTAGTTTCATTATCTGGATTTCAAGTAGTGAGTTTATTTATATTTTCATTAATTTTGTTGATTACTCGACTCTCCCCTTCCTATTCCTTTACTTTCTTTTTAATGAATCTAGTTAAGCCATCTAACCCTTTAAAAGACAATACAGGGTCATATCATCTTCATGTTAGTTTCATACACCGCATAATCTCGACATGTTGTGCACTACTTGATCTTCTCCACATGGATTTTTTTTCTGCTTCCAATCTTTTCCTCATCTGTTTCCAGATAATTTATGTGCTCTATAAGTGTCGTATTTACTATTTATACAAATATTATCTCACGAAACTATGTTGGAGAATGGAGTTTTAAGATATTTGCTAGATGAAGCCTCCTGATCAATTAACAAAAACACAAATTTTTTCGTCTGATTTATTTCCTCCATTAGCTAGTCCACTCAAACACTTCCTTCAGAATTTCATTTGGTTTATTTACATCAGATAGGTGCTCCTTTAACCTCACATTTTTGTAGCTCTATTGGATATGAAACTAATCTTACTTGCAGGTAAATCTGGTCGACTGGCTGAAAATGATGGTTGGAACCAGACGGTCAGAGGAAGTGGTGGACCCAAACATTGAAACAAGGCCATCGACAAGAGCCTTAAAGCGAGCCCTTTTAACTGCTTTAAGGTGTGTTGATCCCGATTCTGACAAAAGACCTAAGATGGGCCAAGTTGTTCGCATGCTTGAATCAGAGGAATATCCCATATCGAGAGAGGTTAGTTCTAACACCATCTCTGTATTGCATGAAGAGGTTTCTAATGACTTTATTCAAATTAAAGCATGAAGAAATTAAATGAACCTTGTATAATTCTAAGATGTTTGAATTGGCTTCTCCTTATACCGGTATTTGCCTCTGATAGCATATTTCATCTCTCCTTGTCTGTGACGGTGCTATATTTTCTCTCTGTTGCATGTTACCACTCCATCTTTCTGGACTTTCTTTCATCTTCTCTTCAGTGCTAACTCTAGTTTTTTCCATGAGTGCATTAATTTTTTTGTTTTTCCTAGTACGACCTTGCCACTGATACAATTCATCATTCTCATCTTAGTTTCTCTCTTTTTGATATGGTCTTGCCTCCCTTTCTTGAGTTTTTGTACGTCCAACATAAAGAATTGCTACCTCTGCACCAATCGTATAAATTTGTAAACATGCTACATCAGTCACACCACTCTAATTTATGAATAAGCATCCTATATTTAGTCCTCTCTCCCTAATTTTGTTGTTTTGTGGTTAATAACCTCTTTTGTTTGTTCCTTTGGGTATCTTTCATTGAACAACCTTAACTATTCTTTTGCATCTATTTATTGTATTGAAAGTTGCATTTTATGCCGTACATACTTTTATTCATTATCTTGGACCTTTGGCTTGAAATATCACTAGTTGCTTCATCGAAACATCATCATTTATTAAGATGAAAAGGTAATTTATAATCCTCTCACCCCCATCAGGGAAAAAAAAAGGTGTTAAAGGAGAGTAAAATGGGGAAGTGACTAAAAGCAAAGGGTCATACTGAAGATACTTCATATCAAATAGAGAATATTAAGGAACATTTGAATTTTCTAGTGTTCAGATCATACAATTACACTCGAGATTTATTTTTTAAATTTTGTGTGTGTATGTGTTTAATAATATATATCAAGGAATGTTAGATTAACCAACTGGCTAGTGGCCTAGTGGTATCAGCCTCTTACTTCTCAAAGGGAGGTCAGGGGTTCAAGTCTCAGAAGAGACGTGTGTGTGAGTACCAACTATAAAAAAGAAAAAAGAAAAAAAAGAAGAGCTTCCATGGTATTTAGTTACACAGATTTCCATTTTCTTACATGGATTTCAAAAAGTTTTTAATTGTCTTTACTCCTAAATTTCCAGGATCGAAGACACCGAAGAAACCAAGCAGCAGGTAGCACGGAGACCGAATCCCAGAGGGAGAATTATGACACTGATAGGAGTGACAATCCAGATCCAAGGCCAGATAGCAGAAGGAGCCATACATAACCTAACGTGTTTTTCATTTATGGAATTGGGGATGATATGAACTGCATTTCATTGTTACAATTTTTTTTAACTGTCTGAAGTCTTTGGTATATTTTTACATAATATCATTTCTAGGAGTGCCTTTTTATGTATGGGTTGGGGTGGGGTCAGCTGTGAAGTTGGCTGACAGGAGAAATTTTTTTTGCCCTTTGCCCTTTGCTTTTTTATTTTATTTTTCCTTTTCCATTTCTACGTTTTTTTTGGCTTTCTTTTGTATCTAAGTAGATGGAGAGATGATTGTTTTGTGTATGAAAGTGGTGATATTGTGAAAAAAACCAGAACATTGGAAGGGTCTTGTACAGGTTTTGTAGCTATTCAATATTGTTTGTTGAAGTGCTCTTCTTTCTGTTAAAAAGGACTCCCCATTTGACTCTATTGGATTGCATGAAGAAAAATGTATTTTCCTCTAAGAGATCATGCTAACCTCTTGGTTGCTGAAGCTTGTGTGTCGGTTCGATTTCGAACAACCATATGATTTTTTGTTCCCTTTTCTATCATCAAGTTGTGTTGTTGCTCAACAAGGTGGCCTCTTGCCGAAGAAGTCTCTGAGATGAATCTACAATGCACCAATATCTTAGTGCCTGTTTGGCATGTGATGTGTTTTAAGTGTTATGTTTTTGGTCAATGTCAAAACAATTGTTTTGTTGTAGGAATGTTTTGGGTAGAAATCGAATCACGTTTAGTAACTAAAATTTGTTTAGAGAAATTCAAAATTTTGTTTTAATTCTGCCACAATATCAAAAAATCTGATTTGTGATGAACTATTTCAAATCAATATAAGCTATATGGGCCCAAATTTGAATACTAATACATCAAACGGGCATTGCATTATCCCATTTTAACTTTCTAAAATCACTGTCCATGTAATGGTAAAGGTTTAGCTGCATAGTATCTCTGACTTGCTTGGATCAGGGAGACAGAACTGTTCTTGAGTAGAAAGTTGACCGCAGGCTCTTGCTGCACACGGGGCACGAACAATCTCATGCCAGTTGGGTTGTCAAATGACCTGAATGCTGTTAATAATAAACTTTCTATACCTTGGTAGAAACTAGAAACTAAATTGGGAGAGTTGATACTTCATTAATTTCAAACTGATTAAAAACTAAGTAAGGCTTGAACAATAGGCTGAGGACTGGAATAGAAAAGTACTCATATCACAATCACACCAAGAAAAAAAAGTGCTGAAATGAAGTTACACTAATAGCGAACTGAAAAATTGCATGAAAAAGAAACTAAAGTAAAATTGCAGTCGTTTATGTGCTGGAATGGTGCTTTTCGGTGCCCGTTTGGTGCAGCTTCCTAAGAGTTCAAAAGTCCTTTTTCAAAAATGTATTCTTACCATAAAAGGAATTCAAAATTAAAATAATTTTTGGTGGAATTTTTTTTTTTCTTATTAAAATAATTGAAGAATTTACAATATTTTTAATTCAGAATATTAATTTTTTATTAATAGTATTGTTCTGTACGGCTAATTAGATCCACGTCAATTATCTAATAAATTATGTGGCATCAATATATTGTTGAAAACGGGAGGAATAAATATACAATTAGTATCGATTGCACAATAACTAAAACTTCTTAAATAGAAAAAATTGATCAAAATATTTCATCAACCCAACCACAAATGAACACTCCATTCTAAATTATTGACATTTAATTATAATAGTACTGATCACAAACAATTAGCTTGACTGGAGCAATTAACACTCCATTCTTTATGTAGGTATCCCACCTTCTTGTGAAAAATTCTAGAGTATATATGCTACATTATTTACACCAAAAACAAAAGTCCATAATTTAACATATTCTTCATGCTAAAACAATGCATACAATTCTGCCACAACTCTAAAACTTTATAGAATTTCAACTCTACGCAATTATAGATGGACACTACCCATCTCCTCATTAGTAGATGTAAGATTTCCTGAATCTTGACCACTGTTATATTCCAATCTTTTAATGACGCATCATCTATAATTAGTTATATATAAAAAATAAATAAATCATGACTTTATTTATTTAGATGACCCGCAATTTAATTAAGCTTAGGTGCCACGTGCAGAATGTTGAAGAGAGACATAATATTTAGTTTACACAAAGTGACTGATTTCATACTTGAATCTATTTTACACCAACCAATAATGCTACTGAAAAAATTAGTATTATTATTATTATTATTATTTATTTTCCAGAGAATCTTGCTAAAGCCAATTCCTTACAAGATATAATCATAAGCTTTTTGTGTTAGAGGATATAAATAAATTAAATAATAAACTCTCTTTGGGTTAAACTTTTGACATAAATAGACGGTGATAATCATATTATGATTACGATCACACATAAAAGTTTTAATGTTAAAATAACATACGCTGATGATTTACATGTGCATTTTTGACCAAACATTTGAAAAAATCTTTACATATGTGTATTTGACCAAACATTTGAAAAATTCTCGTGTTTTGTGTAAGAAAAGTTTTGGGAGAAACTAGTCTAATGCGGAAAACTATATTTTCTATTTCTTTTTCCATCCATCCGAACTCTAAAAAAATTTAAAAATTTTCTCTTTCCTTTCTTTTCTAATTGATTCCATCTAACCAAACGAAGCCTTATAGATATAAGGACAAATTTGGTATTAATAAATTTTCATTAAAAATATTCCATTTCCTTCCATTTTTTGAAGGATGACAAAAGTTACTATTTATGCTTTAGTCTTTCCTTCTAAACCCCTCCATTCCCTCCCCTTTCCATCCAACATTTTATACCAAACACAACTTTTTATTTTCTTCCATTTCCTTTCTTTTCTTTTCCCTCTCATTTCCATTGTACCAAATTGAGCAGTTATTCATGTGCTGGAATTGGGCTTTTAGGAATTCTCAAAATGAATACTAATTTTGGGAGGGAAGAGTAATTTTCATCTTTGTTGAAAATAGATCATTATGATGACATGGATCAATCATGAAATTTGGACTGTCCTGGTTTTCTACTACTAGTATTCTCGTCCTCGTCATCATATTTGCTTTAATCTCATATGAATTAGGTTAGTGTTATGAATTTTTTCTTTCCAATTTTTTTAATTATAATGCTTCAAATCATAGAAGTTGACTTGGCCTCACCTTATAGCAATAGACCACATAAATTTTATGTTTGCCCACCGAATATTGTCGAAAAGAAAATGAACCAAAGAAAATTTCAAAGTGCAGTTCAATTCAACAATAGAGTTATCCTTATGAACAAATATTTTATTTTATTAATATTTTTTTGATAGCTGGAAAAACAAGAAGAGAAAACAAATATACAAAAAAACAACGAGAAAAAACAGAGAAGACTAAACATATATAAGAAGCCAAGGAGACCAAATGTCCCGCTCTCCAGCACTCTGCTTGGAAGACTCAGCAAACTACCTAATGTCTTTCTCCTTTTATTTATTTATGTAAAGATAAAATAATAGACAATACAACAAAAATAGTAGAATTAAGGAAGAAAAACAAAAATGAACCAAAAATAGAGTTGCCACATCAGCAGCTACTTAGCCATTTGAAAGAACATACTTTGAGTATTATTATTATTATTATTATTTATTTTTCGAATCTTGCTAAAGCGAATTCCTTGCAGGATGTAATAATAAGTTTTTTAACATAGATAGATGGTGATAATCATACTATGATTGCTATTACACACAAAAGGTTTTAAAGTCAAAGTAACAAACGCTAAATGATTTACACGTGTAAGTTAACCAAACATTTGAAAAAATTGGTGTAATCTATCTTAATTTTAATATACAAAAACACTATATCAAGCTATTGTAAAAGTTGTTTACAAAGTAAAGAACTTGAATTTTGATTGCAAACTGATTACAAACTATTAACTAAGCAAGGATCAAACAATAATCTATGGTTTGGAATAGAAAAGTACTTGATTATACTACAATCACACAAAATTAATTATGAACACACGCTTTATGCTTCCACTTTAATGATGTACTCAAATTATTTATCTTTTAATAATGAAATATGTTTGTTTTAACAATTCAAAGTATAAATATGAAAGACAACAAATTAACTAACAATAAATTGTAGTCGACGAAATGGGTTTGTTTTAACCATTCTCATGACTTAAGTATAGAGGGCTTAAGTAAGTTATTTACCATCATCAAAATAAGTTAAATTATATTATTTGTGAAATTTTCTATCAATTAATTTCCAAATTATGTTTTACAGTTTTCAATATTTAAAATTCAGGTTACATAAATCTCCCAACTCTAGATAAGTACAAACGCCAAAAAAAAAAAAAAAAAAAAAAAAAAAAAAAATTACAAAACCAATATTAAATTATTGATCTTTAGCTATCAGAGTACTTGTTACAAACCATTAGCTTGATAGGAATAATTAACACACCATCCTTTATATAGACATCTGACCTCCTTATGAAAAATTCTAGAATATATACTCTACATTACTTGCGCAAACTACAAAACTCCGTAATAATCTAAAAACATTCTATATGCTAGTAAAATATTGCAAACAATCCCATACAATTCTACGCAATTAAGTTGTGGTTATAGCTTGGAAATAGTGTCTTAACACTACACAATTATAGAATTCAATAATTTTATTTTGGGAGCACCAAATTGCACTTGGAATTTGTGCTTTGAAATTAGAACTAAGGGAAAAATTATTTTAAAGTTTTAAACTAAATTTTTTTCAATTTCAATTCTAATTAATGTGCCATCTCCTCAAAATTAGACGGACTTAATTAGTAGAGGGTTCACCTCTTTAAATAGGTGTGCTCGTATTTGAATATCCCTGAATGACACACCTAACCTAATTATTACAAAGATAAACCACCAAACATGAGCATACACACCATCACCATCAGGCTGGTTGAAAAAAAAAGTAATATTTTTTGGCTCATTCAGAAAAGGATGGCTTAGTTATATTTCTCTTTCATAGAGTTTCCTTCTTGTATCATCATACATGTACCATTCATCCATTAATCAAACAGTTCCCAAATTCAATGCATATCATTATCATACCCTCTTCGAGTTCTTATTCATCTGCATTACTTTATCAAAAATTAATATTGTACCAGCAATGCAATCACCTACTTGTTTGAAGTAAAATATTTAATGGATAATAATAATAATACTAATTTCGTCCGTGTTGAAAATGGATCATTATGCTGATGTGGATGAGTGGATCAACCATGGACTTGACTTGTTTTCTGATCAGAATTTTCATAAGAAATTATTAAATGGTTCGGACCATTTGAGTGAACTAATCAAATGAAAACTAATGTTGAGATTTTTTTATAATATATTAATACGTTTTTGGGGATCATTTTTTAAATTGGAGTTTC